TTCTTCTAATCTAGTGTTAATCACTCCAGCTGTCATGACAGATGACCTCATTAGAAAATCTCTTGTCACGCATACAAGCTTCCCCTCAAGATTCATGTTTTTTTTCAGGTGTAAAAGTTGGGGGTCTTTTCCCCAAAGTTTTGGAAAGCCAATTCTTGGCTCCAAATCGCATAATGAAAGAAAGACAGCAGTCATGATAGTTTATTACATTTAGAGTTACGATATATCTAACCATGAGAAGAAAGATGGCCACTTTTCCTCCACTGTCCATTTGCAGAGATCCAGTTTTACATCTGAAATTTAGTTTAAGTCGGCAAAAGCCATTGAATGCAACTGCAGGGTAGTGTAAAGAACTACTACATTTTCAGAACTTAGAAAGGATGGGGTTTGGGAGTAGGGGTCGAGGGCAGGAGGGAAAAGAAGAAATGATGGTATTATTAGTGCATTTCTACACCAGACGTACTTGCCTTAAGCACTAAAAAATGTGCTGTGTGATTATACATTCTGTCCCAAGCCAGGACTTCTACCACTTTGAAAATAAAGAACGTGGTTTTTCCCTTGCTGTCCTGAGGGAACATAACTGGTTTGGTTACTCCCTGCTGGTTCCTGCAGGAGGCTCCTCACAGAGAGTATACTGTATTAACTCCTTCTCACTGCCCTTGTTCCTGCTGGTGTCTTGTCTTTAAGCTCTATTTTCTGTCCTTGGCTTTGAGTCCTAGCAAAGTCCTCTTTAATTCATAAGAGCCCTTGGCGCTCAAAAGGAAATTTTTTGTTCTTCATGAGTATACAACAATAGTAGATTAAAAAAAAAAAAAGATTAACATTTTAATGCAAATATGCAAATAACAAATATCTTGAAAGGGTTGTGATGGATTATACCCAAGTCTATGTATGCAGACCGAAATGTTTTCCTGATTTAATGTGCAGTGTATTCTGTAATTTATTGAAGTTTACCAAAATAATTTTCCATGCTTTTTTTTTTTTACTACACTCATGTTTATTCTGCTTTGTTTCCATGCCTCTCATACAAAGATTACACAGGTCTGTGAGTCTTCTCAATGCTTATACACTGAACAGGTCAACGGCCAGGTGAGGGGTACTTAGATTTCCAATGTAACCCTCACTGACGCTTTGGTCGTTTCACCTGCCTTCTAGTGTAGTCGCTTAGAGGGTCTTACCTGATGCTTGTCATTGCTGAAGTCTTTGATCTTGTAGCTGTTATTACTTATTGACCTCTGCTGGGTTTTTTAAACTTTTTATTTTATATTGTAATATAGCCAATTAACAGTGTTGTAATAGTTTCTAGTGGACAGCAAAGGAACTCAGCCGTACGTATACATGTATCTATTCCCTGCCAACATTGGGTTTTTAGACATTCAGCACCTCTGTTCAGCAGGTCCTCAAAACTAATGTACTGCAGTGTTTCATAATTTGCAGGTGGTCTCTGTTTATTTTTGGCCTCGCCATGTGACTGATAGGATCTTAATTCTCTGAGCAGAGACTGAACCCGGGCCCTTGGCAGAGAAAACTCAGGGCCCTAACCACTGGATCATCAGAGAGTTCCCTAGGTGCTGTTAACTAAGAGATTCAGCAGAGAGCTAGGGGCCATGTAACCACAGCCGTTTGACTTGATACCCTGAAGCTCTCCCCCCATCTGTTGTTGTTGTTGTTATTCAGTGGCTCGGTCGCGTCTGACTCTTTGCAACTGAGAAGTGCAACACTCCAGGCTTCCCTGTCCTTCACTGTCTCCCAGAGCTTGCTCAAACTCATGTCCATTGGGTCAATGATGCCATCCAACCATCTCATCCTCTGTTGCCCTCTTCTCCTCCTGCCCTCAGTCTTTCCCAGCATCAGGGTCTTTCCAGTAAGTCAGCTCTTTGCATCAGATAGCCAAAGTTTTGGAGCTTCGACTTCACCATCAGTCCTTCCAATGAATATTCAGGGTTGACTTCCTTTAGGATTGACTTGTCTGGTCTCCTTGTAGTCCAAGGTACTCTCAAAAGTCTTCTCCAATGCCACAGTTCAAAGCATCAGTTCTTCGACATTCACCCTTCTTTATGGTCCAGCTCTCACATCCATACATAGCTACTGAAAAAACCATAGCTTTGACTATATGGATGTTTGGCAGCAAAGTGATGTCTCTGCTTTTTAATATGCTTTCTAGGTGTGTCGTAGCTTTTCTTCCAAGGAGCAAGCGTCTTTTAATTTCATGGCTGCAGTCATTGTCTGCAGTGATCTTGGAACCCAGGAAAATAAAGTCTGTAGAATAGGAATGATACATTCCCTGGGGATTTGAGGTTTAAATTCAGTGATGTGTATGAAATGCAAAATTCTTCATAGATGTGAACTGTTGCTGCCCACCACTTCAACACTGATCTCCCCTCTTAACTCTTCCAGGAGGTAGGTTGAGTGCTCATTATTAGCAAATCGGCTAACATTTGCTATCATTGATTAACAGTCATGGTGTCTCAGCTCTTTAAGGGTGCTTTATACAAGCTTTCAAATTGCCATGAACTTGCCCTGAACTCCCACAAGGACGCCACAGAAGTGATGCTGGAGGTTGCCAGCTGCCAGGGCGGGGTGCCTGAGAGCCTCATGTCAGATGCTCGGCGGAGAACACTCTGGAGACGTGAACTGAGCTTGGTGTTTATCGTCACTGGAAGATCTTGAACTTTAGTACAAAGGCTTCTGTAATTTTTAGACTTCAGTCCTGAATTTCAGAAATGTAATGCTCTCCCCAGAGCTGTAATTTCCTTGTCCTCAAATTGAGAGTTCTAAAAATTCACATTTTGCTCTTAAGGCACACCCGTGTGGATCCCAGCTGTGAGATCACGGTGCCGTCAATTCAGAGTTTCCTCAGTGACCGAAGAGCCTCTGCAGAAAGTGTCTTCCAGTCACTGTGATTATGCTCATCTTATTTATGTTCGTTCACTCAGAGTACGAGATGTTTTTTCAAAAACCGATACACCCTGCAGTTTTAAAAATCATGCTAAGAAAAAAAAAATCATGCTAAGAGATTATTTACTGACTGGTTGGACGTTACAGAGGAGGAAGGACTGAAATTGGCTGGAAGGAAGGCAGAGATGAGAAGGAAAAGGGAATGAAGGGAAGACAGCAGGAGCATCTCATGTGCAAGGCTCTTGGACACTCTGTGTTATTTAATTGTGAGAAAGGAAGGCGTATCCAGCCCAGGGATGGTAGTCTCACTGTCTTGAGCTCCTGGGCTCCTGTATCCTCCTGATGGAACTTCGGGTCCTGCGCACCCTCTCCTGGCTCTGTGCTCACTGGAGCCTCTGCGGTTTCATCGTCAAGGTCCCCTCCTCCATCCACAGCCCCAGCACCTTAACCGTCCTCCCTGGGTTCTTGCTTCTCTGGTCTCTCCAGGTTTCTCTGCCTCCTGAGAGGCAGTTCTTCAGCCCACCTCGTCCAGAGTTTCTCTTTCCCAAGAGGCAAAGGCTGTCCTCATTTTCATCTCCTCTCCTTCTCAGCGTGGAGATTTCCTCTGCATCCGTGGTTTAGTAACCCCCCCTGGCATTGCTGTCCTGAGTCCCCTCCCGGGTTGCAGACTTAACATGCTCACCCACCGGCACCTTGACTCTGCATCCACACCAGGCCGCTGCCCTCACACACACACACACACACACACACACAGCCCTGACGGGGAGCAGCACCTCCATTCACCCTTCTTTTTTTTTTCTTCTCATGGAGCAGGTGCTAAATGATAGCATCACCCTGTGATCCTTTGTCAGTGTGACAGTTCCATGTATTGTTTCATTTATTTCATCCTTTCATTTAATAAATATTTATCAAGCTTCTCTACTAGACTCTGCAAAGAATACAAGAACAATAAATGAGATGAGATCTCAGGAAACTTATGACCTAATGATGACGATTAAAAAAAAAAACTTTACAGAATGCCTGTAGTATGCTTCCAGGCTCCAAGAGCAGACCATCAAGCTACAGCCGCTGCCCTGGCTAACTGGCCCCTCACCCCTGTGGGTTACTGTGAGGGGGTACCCCTTTTCCTAGGACAGGCTCCTGCCTACTGTGTAACTGCAGCACGTCCAAGGTACTCGTTTTCTCTCTCCCAGAAGTTCACAATCTTCAGGAAGTCTTCCCTAGACATCCCACAGCAGGCTTCCAACCATGCTAGTCCCTCTGGTTATTCAAAAGGAAGTAAGCACTGGCGTGGGGACCCCCTCTAAACAAGGCATCCCAGAGAGTGGACTGTGTTTGTCCCACGTTGCCCTTAGACCAGAGTTCTTCAGTAGCAGCACTGCTGACATTTGTCTGGACCATCTTTGTCATAGTGATCTCCTGGGCTTCCGAGGTGGCACTAGTGGTAAAGAACCCACCTGCCAATGCAAGGGATGTGGGATCAATCCCTGGGTCGGGAAGACCCTCTGGAGGAGGGCACGGCACCTCACTCTAAGTGGGTTAGGATTCTTGAGTGGAGAATCCCATGGACAGAGGAGCCTGGCGGGCTGCAGTCCATGGGGTCTCAGAGTCAGACACAACTGAAGTGACTTAGCAGCTATAGCAGCACCTCCCTGGCGTCCTCTCATTAGATAGAGCAGCCGTCCTCGCTCCCCCAGTTGTGACAAGCCAAAGTGTCCCTGTCAGACGTCCCTGGGGGCCAGAGTCACCCCTGGTTGAGCACCACTGGCCTAGACTGAAGCCTGCAGAAGGGTGGGGTCACCTCCCGCTAAGGCCGTGGAGGGTTCTCGCGGTATTGTCGGGGTTCATACCTTTCAACTTCCCCGATGACCTTGAACTTCACCAACTGTTACAAAGGCAATGAGTAGAGGCATAGATCTCAAGTGACATTCTGAAAAAATTTTTGATCTCTGTAGTAAGGAATTTAGAGCCAATCTATCTCTTTAAGTATCCACATGGAAATAGGATGTTCTGTGTATATGTTTTCGTATTCAGCAGTAGGATAAATCCACTCCGGGAAGGATTTCTCTGTCATTTCACTGTCATTTCCTTCACATTTTCAGTACCATCAAGAGGACCAGCTCTTCCGAACGGGTGTCTCCTGGCGGTCGAAGGGAAAGCTATGGGGATTCCAAAGGAAACCGGAACCGCACAGGATCCACCAGCAGTTCTTCCAGTGGCAAAAAGAACAGTGAAAGGTAAGGGGCATCTTCCCGCCGGTTCCTGCTGTTCTGATGTCGTGTGACCTCTCTTCCCCAGAGGTGAACCCAAAGGCCCCCTTATGTGCACATAAGCTAGGGGCCCTCCGTGGCACATGCGCCTTCTCCGGACATCACTGTGGGCGTGTCCGACAGCTCCTGGTCACAGCTCACCCCAGTTACCAGCCAGGTGGAAAACTGTGGCTTCGACTCCCTATGCATGCAGAAGGCGTTCTTGAGAACTTGCTTAGTACCAACTCCATGGAATTTGGGAAGCTTCTGAATTGATAAAGTGCAGGACACTTTGTATTACTAATACTCTCAGCTGCCTTTTTTTTTTTGCCTTTTTTCTGGCTGCACTGGGTCCTCATTGCTGTGCACGGGCTTTCTCAGTTGTAGAGCATGGTCCCTAGAGCACAAGGGCTCAGCTGTCACAGCATGCAGGCTTAGCTGCATAGTGGCACTGAACCCGTGTCCCCTGCATTGGAAGGCGGATTCTTAGCCACTGGACTTGCTTAGCCACTTTTCCTGGTGAGGAAAGTCCCTCTCAGCTGCCATTTTAAAATTAACTTTAGTGGCTTAAGTTTGTCAACAATATTTCCTACGACAGACTGGGTAAAAAGTTGTAATTGCATAATTTGTTAGAACACCAGAAATAGGAACCACTTTCTGGTTTCATGAGTCTTTTTCTTTGAGGTTGGTTTATAATGGATTATGATAACTCCTTGTTAAACTAATAGTAACATTTTATTAGTGAGAGATAATCTGGGGCATTTTAACAGCTTGTTTTACGTCTAAGAATGGATTGTGTATATGAGAACAGTTTCTCTGTATTTATCTACGCCACATACTTTATTCTCTCTTTTTAAACATTGTGCTTTAAATTTTATTCTCTGTTGAGCAAAGCTTATGAAGGAATTTCAGCTTCACAGGCTAACCATGTTTTGGTTTTTGTTTTTTTACCAAATGTTCATGTAAGGAGAAGGCTTAGTCATAAAGCAGTGGACTCCAACCCACAGGCTGTAAAAGTTCCAAGTTTGTAAGTCCACTTTGATTCAGTCCTATAAAAGAAGCTTAAGCTCTTTTTTGGTTTTATTCCTAAAAGACATGTTTTTTATGAAGAGATGCAAGCACCTCTCATGTCTCTAGCAGGTCAAATCCACAGCCAATTAACAATCTCAAAACCACTGACATGGGGCTGTCTTCTAATTTAGACTATTAGGACTTCTTATCAGAAGATTATGCTAATTGGGTGATAATACCTTGGAAATAAGGCCAAGTGGTTACAACAACAGCAGAGCATAAATAAGTGGGAGATGCCGGGTGGCCTTTAGGCTTCTCTGAATTTAGGGTAAGCTTGGAAGTTGACCTGAGATGTCGAGATCTAGGCAGTTCTTAAAAACTTGGCTCCTTCTCTGCACATCTGATTTGTATTAAGAATTTCCAGAAAGAATCTGCACTGTGCAAACTCCAGATCTGTTGTATCTTTTAAATCCTATGTCTTTGCTCAGTGTGCTGGGTAAATATTTCCATGAAAGATATTTACAAAGGGTGTTTTTTTTTTTAATGCCAGGAAATTTGATTTGGAATTGAAGGACTGGGAAAATTTACTAATCATTTTCTAAAAATAATTCAGGCAACTGAACATTGGCCATTTAAACATAAGTTCTTTGTCTTGTTAGATCCCAAGAATAGTTGAGGCCCATGTAGTGCTGAAGACTTGAGAGTCACTTGGACTGCAAGGAGATCAAACTAGTTAATCCTAAAGGAAATCAACCTAAATATTCATTGGAAGGACTGATGTTGAAACTAAAGCTCCAATACTTACCTGATTCAAAGGGCCAACTCATTGGTAAAGACCCTGATACTGGGAAAGACTGAGGGCAGGAGGAGAAGGGGACGACAGAGGATGAGATGGTTCGATAGCCTCACTGACTGAATGGACATGAATCTGAGCAAACTCCAGGAGATAGTGAAGGACAGGGAAGCCTGGTGTGCCTTAGTCCAGGGGGTCACAGAGTCAGACACAACTCAGCAACTCAACACCACCTCCACCACGTGTAGTGCAGAGCTGGCTGAGGCGCACCTAAGGAGTATCAGAGAGAAAGCCCCTGCCTTCTGTGGGTCATCGCTGGCACAGGCAGACGCCTTTAGGGACCCGTGGAAATGATGGCAGCGGTAACTCAGACAGAAGGAAGAAGCAGCTAGAAACAATAGAGGTGAAGTTCAAGCCGGTGCATCCGTCACTGCCTGTCCATTTCCCTTCATCCTTCCGTTCCATCCCCCATCAAGAGGCCCTCTCTTGAGTTACCTGGAATTTGTACCAAACCAGAGCTGGAGTCTTATGGACCAGTGCCCAGTCTCCAGGGCTTAAAGCAGGCAAAGAAAGGGATGGAAGGTGCAATTCCGCTTTTAAACATTATGGTCCTCAGTAGTCTAAGATTGCACAACCTCTTGCGCATCACACACAAATATTTGTCCACGATCTTACCTTTTAACCCATTGTCCATGCGTGGTTACTGTACATAGCAAGATGTAATGGAAAGAACACAGGTTCTGGAGTAAAAGAAAGATCTGGGTTTGTGAACAAACTTGGCCACTTCACTTCTCTGAGCCTCAGCTTGTCCCCCTCTGTGAATGAAGGGTTTTATATCTTAATGCCCTTAAATCTTTTCAGAGATCTACCTGGTAGGAAAACACTCAGCATAGCACTTGGCACTCAGTAATGGCAGCTGTTGTGAATCAAGACCTGTGCAGAGTAGGAGAAAATATGGTTCAGGAGGCTTTCCAAAATTCTGAACTTGATTTTCCTCAATTGTAAGGTGAAGGTGGTGGATGCCATCTGATGTTGTTAGTCTTTTTTCGGTCTAACACATACTAACTTATATCCACAGGACACTCTTATGAGTACAACCTGGATTTTGGCAAATTCTAATTGGCTGCGGAGACATAAATTATTTTACAGTCATCCCAGGATGTCCAAGGGCTGTTGGTTCCAGGACCCCACCCCTACTCCCATCCCCAAATCCACGGATGCTCAAGTCCTTCAGTTAGTGGTTCTGCATCCACAGATTCAGCCAACCATGGATTTTTATGCTTGTGTTTGATTCCTTGGATGCAGATACAGAGGAATGACCATATATTCTCATGGTTGTTAATGTCACATCAGAACGAGCTGGTGTGCAGGCGCTGAGACCCCAGGAAAGCTCATCAGAACATGAGTGAGTGAGGGTGGCCTTAGAGCTATGACTTTGGGTCCGTCCTGATTCACAGAAGGAAGTCATTCACCCCGGGCCACGCGCTCTCAACTACCACACACCATATGCAAAGCTGTTTTAGCACATCTGGCACTTTTGTGAAAATGAGAAAGAGGCTCCTTTCAGCATTCATGTGTCTCTGTAATAATAATCACAACAAATATAAAGCCATTTCCTATCAATTGTATAGATCTTACTGTCAAACATAAAGTAATAGTGTTTTGAGGTCCTAAACATTTACATTTTCTAAGACACATTAATTTATTGAATAATCATCATGTTTTGTGTTCAAAGCAGTTATCTCCCTGGTAGTTTCCGTCTCCTTGCTCATGTGTCTCATTTTCTTTGGAAATGGTCACGAGAGTCAATAGTCTCTCTTGTGACACTTTAGATTTTTATCTTCGAATAGTTAACATTTTAAAATATTTTCCTTGCAGTGAGCCACAGATTTTTAACAGCACTTATTAATCTTTGCACTGACAAAATTTTCATAGAAACAAAAGCAATATACAGCAGTGTAATATTTACCTCATGTATTATTGATGGTATATTGTGAATATTAACAATTATTTATATAGTGATCTGTGTCATAATGAAGTACTTAGTAAATTTAAATAGGGACTTAACAGTATCATTCTGATAAACAATCTGAACTACCTAATGTAGCCAGTAGACTAATCCAAGAAAAGGGTTTTGTTTTGTTGTTTTGTTTTAATAAGTATTTCATATCAGACAGAAAAACAGCTACTGTTCAGAATGTAGTTAATGTTGCCAGATTGATAAAATGTTTCAATTATCCAACTGGTTCCCCCATTGTCGTTTTGAGGGGAATAAGATATATCAACTTTGTAAGCAAGACCCTTGGTCTCCCTCAGAAAGTTGTTGCAGTGTGAGCTGATTTTGTTCAAGTAAGAAATGTGACGGCCACCTGCTGGAAACCTTGTTGTAACACACAAACTACCCATCTTTGGGGTCAACAAATGTGAAAAAAGCTTCAAAATTACGAGGACGTTTCCCGCATGAAGACTTGCCCCTGGGTGCCCTTTAGTGTTGCGCCGCTGGCTGCTTTATCCCGGCTGCGAGGTCAGAACTGTGAGCAGGACATTCAGCTCCATCCTCCTTGAAATATCAGCCTTCAATGAGGAAGGCTTTTATTTTTTTTTACTGAAGTATAGTTGATTTACAATGTTGTGTTAGTTTCCGTGGCACAGCAGAGTGATTCAGTTATATATATATATATATATGTAGACGATACCCACTCTAACGGCAGAAAATGAAGATGAACTAAAGAGCCTCTAGATGAGAGTGAAAGAGGAAAGTGAAAAAGCTGGCTTGAAACTCAACATTAAAAAAAAAAATAAGTTCGTGGCATCCAGTTCCATCACTTCATGGCAAAGAGAAAAAGTGGAAACAGTGACAGATCTTATTTTCTTGGGCTCCAAAATCACTGTGCACGGTGACTGCAGCCATGAAATTAAAAGGTGCTTGTTCCTTGGAAGGAAAGCTAATGTTTTAAAAAGCAGAGACATCGCTTTGCTGACAAAGGTCCATATAGTCAAAGCTATCTGGTTTTTCCAGTAGTTATGTATGGATATGAGAGTTGGACCATAAAGAAAGCTCAGTGCTGAAGAATTGATGCTTGCAAACTGTGGTGCTGGAGGAGACTGTATATTATCTAGGGTGAAACAGATCACCAGCCCAGGCTGGATACACGAGACAAGTGCTTGGGCCTGGTGCACTGGG